CCTATTACTCGCAGTGCTTGCCCGGAAGCCAGGTAACTACCTCGGCCGCTGCTCCCACGACGACTCCAGCTTCAAGCACGAGCAACACCAGCAAGACGTCAAGCTCCACCGTTGTTACTGTTAGCACCACCAGCAAAGCCTCGACCTCTGCAGGTGTGACAGCTTCGTCTTCGTCCACCAAGGTCAGCACGACTACCACCCCCGCAGGCTCGGCCGGCGCGACCGCCACCTACTCGGGAAACCCGTTCTCGGGAGTCAATATGTGGGCCAACAGCTACTATGCTTCCGAGGTGGCCAATCTGGCCATCCCTAGCTTGAGCGCTGCTATGGCTGCCAAGGCTGCTGCTGTCGCCAAGGTCCCTAGCTTCCAGTGGCTCGACACGGCGGCGACGGTCAACACCCTGATGGCCAACACTCTCGCCGACATCCGTGCCGCCAACAAGGCCGGTGGCAACTACGCCGCCCAGTTCGTCGTGTACGATCTTCCGGACCGTGACTGCGCCGCCGCTGCCTCCAACGGCGAGTACTCGATCGCCAACGGTGGTGTCGCCAACTACAAGGCCTACATTGATGCGATCCGCGTCATGATCATCAAGTACTCGGATATTCGCATCATCCTGGTCGTCGAGCCCGACTCGCTTGCCAACCTGGTTACCAACACCAATGTGGCCAAGTGCTCCGGCGCGGCGTCTGCTTACAAGGAGTGCACCATTTACGCGCTCCAGAAGCTGAACTTGGACAACGTGGCCATGTACCTCGATGCTGGACACGCCGGATGGTTGGGCTGGCCTGCCAATATTCAGCCTGCCGCCACTCTCTTTGCTGGCATTTACAAAGATGCCGGCAGCCCCAAGGCTGTCCGTGGCCTGGCGACCAACGTGGCTAACTACAATGCCTGGAGTCTCTCAAGCGCTCCATCGATCACCACGCCCAACCCTAACTACGACGAGAAGCACTACGTCGAGGCCATCAGCCCGCTCCTCAACGCAGCTGGCTTCCCTGCGAAGTTCATCACGGACCAGGGCCGTTCAGGCAAGCAGCCTACTGGCCAGACGGAGTGGGGTCATTGGTGCAACGTCATTGGCGCAGGATTCGGAACGCGCCCTACCACCAACACCGGACTTGATATCGAGGACGCCTTTGTCTGGATCAAGCCTGGTGGCGAGTGCGATGGCACGAGCAACACCACAGCGACTCGCTACGACTATCACTGCGGCCTGGCGGATGCTCTTCAGCCTGCGCCTGAGGCCGGCCAGTGGTTCCAGGCATACTTTGTGCAGCTGATCAACAACGCCAGCCCGGCCTTCTAATGATGACATTCTTTGTCAGGGATAAAAATTGGATGACAAGGGGACGTTCTTTCTTGATCTGGACAGGGCATGGTTTAGATCTTGTATCTTTTATCTTTCTTGCACATATTTATTTACACCTCATCTGTATATAGCAGACCATTTGAAGCTCGATATATTTTCCTGGGAACAGTCTTGAATTCGCCAACACTGGCCATAAGTTTATGGACTGATCACTGTGCACTATGCCCGTCTGAAGAAGTGCGATGACAGGTCTGTTCTAAGTTGTATCTGACGTTGATAATCATAGAAGGAAGAACACCACTTGCAACAACAAAAAAGATCTCAACAAGTTCCACTGGCGGGCCATTCTCCCCTCCAACCTCCTTCCGGGGCTCCGTCACCAACTGCAGGCCACCTCATGCCATCGGTTGAACCAGCATTGGGCGCTGTCAGTGCTGTGGCACCCTTGCAAGCTGTCAGTGCGCCACTCAGCAAAGCAGCGCTTCGACTGGCCCGTGGCGTAAAAATGGCCCCTCTTTAGGGGCCAGTCCATGCACAGTTGGTAGACGATGGGCACGTTGGGGGGTCCCGGCAGCCTTGGCTGGCGTCGACGCTGTGGCTCCCACCATCCGTATGCCATATCGCTTGGGAATGGGTTTGAGGCTGTGTATTGTACGCCCCTCTTGGCTGCGAGGTAAGCATCGTTAAGGCGTCTCCCGCAACTAGGGTGGCGGTGTGAAGCACCACGGCCACAGCCGACAAAATGATGGTGCCAGTGCGCATGTTGCTAATGGTAGTGCGGACTGGAAGAGGTCAGTTAGTATCTTCATATTCCTGAAGGGGTGGTTCTGCCAATTACAAATCTCACAAAGGAAAGATCTAAATGATGTAAAAATAATATAGAAAGGACGGACAAAGCGGCTAGGAGAGCTAGGTAACTTGAAGTATGTAGGTGTATTTGTTTGACTGGGGGCAAGAAGGACAATTAAGAGAGTTTGAGGTACTAGATGACGAGAATGCGACTTGAATTCTCAGGACCATATGGCCAATGCTGCCATCTTTATACCTGCAGTATCTCTTGATGTGCCGGCCTCTTTTTCTTTGGGCATGTCCAATAGAGAGATTCTAGCCGAAATTTTCATGATGTTTCAGCCAAAGGAAGCGACTCTGGCGAGGTCGGGACCGGTCCTCGAGACACGGGTCGTATGAACACCAACAGGAAGCTAGAATCAACATTGTGTGGCTGAAGTTGCACTCAAGATGGACTGCCAAGTGCGAATATTGCACACATAGACCGTACATGATGGTGCTATAGTGTTACAAAGTGGATTGTCTAGTGAGAATAAGTATTGAACACGTTGCCCTTACATGACAGAGTTTTGCTACTGTTGCACCAGAAGGATGCCGAGTTAACAAGGCGATATCAATCACTCTCTTTACTGGCTCAAGCCAATTATCAGCCAGGTACTATCAGGGGCCGAAATCCTACCTAGATAAATGGGGGACTAGAATTACAACTAACAAACACACCGACTCCGAGACCGTTCACTTTTGTTGACCTCAACCTCTTTCTGTATTACATTGATGATCTCGGGTGCTCGGTCAACCGTACAAAATGTGCCTGAAAATGGGATGCCTAAACTGCCAAGAGCAAATAAATGTACGTTTGTAAGTTCTTTTGCGAAAATAGCCTGCATATTCCCATGATGCATCTCGTTCACACGCCGGCCATCCCGTCCGACCGAGCTTTCTCTCACTCTACCTTCTCTATTCCTATGATACTGTGGTGAAACCGTTTGATTTGCGCACGTACGAGGAGGAAGACGACACACAAGACAAGTGCCGATCCCGCCCCTCCCTCTTAGGCCCAAATCGACCTCTCGGAGAGATATTAACTATTGAATACCTGCCACCTCGAATTGTCTCGAGATCCATGCCTAGATCTCTCACTATCCCGGTATTCTTTTGTTTCTTGCGTTCAAAGAAACCCTCCTCAGGCTATCTCAATAAAGTTAAAGATCAAACACAAACACACACATCTATACTAACTCATATTCCCATTCACTACTCTTCTACATACACATAATGCGCGTCGAGCTCTGGGGAGTCGTTGCTGCACTGGCGGCCACAGTTGCAGCGGACGCTATGGCTATGCTCACCAGGTGCACAAGTGGGAGTTGCAACAGTTCCAAGGCCATCTGGTATAGTGACAATGACGGCTATGCAATCGACGCCACCAAGTTGGCTGTCACGATCCCGATGCTCCTTACATCTACTCCGTTTGCATCGACTGGTCAAACAGGAGAGGCCATTTCTACGCCACCAACCATCTGAAGCGCTGCTTCGCCACCAACCTCCGCCGCAATATGTTACTTTGACTCTTTTTTCATCTTCTGAGGAACCATTACGAAAGAATAAGCTGGCTAACATTCAATCTCATCGTCACAACAGAAGGCGTAACCCCCTGCGGGGGCGACGATAGTGTGTGTGATTGACATATGGCAGGAGGTGGGTTGCACCTGGTGAGTACAGGCCAAGGACGGCAGTACAAAAAAACCCAACAAAACACCCGTCGAGTGCAGCATTGAGTTTCAGGGAACCCGATGAGAGAAAACGAGTTGCTGAACGAGGGAGAGAAAGGACGAGAAAGTGTGGAGATTACAATGGAAGCTGTTGTCGCATGATGGAGAGGTTTCTTTGTAACTACTAGTAGATGATTTCAACTATGAGCCCAAACCAGGCAAATATCATCAGTGCTCGCTCCTAAGTACGAGTAACTTTTGTGCGTTGTTTCCACCGACCAGCCTATTTCTTCTCACTGCTCCACTAGCTCGGGCCAAAAGGACCAGCAGACAAGCCTCTCCCCTAGTCAGCCACCAATTATCCAAACACTTCAATGACCATTCGACAGTGACATACACACAGAAATTAAATCCACTAATGCTTGCCATTACAATGCTCTCTTTTCTGCGGAATGTGGGGTCGTGTCAAACTTGCTTACATGTGGGTAAAGATATATGTGAGCTTTGCTAACAGCAAGTTTTGAACTCTTGGTATTGAACTCGTCCAATCCTTTCGTACGACGTGCCCCGGCACTTGCTAAGGAGAACAGACAGAAACAATCCATGTTCGTAACCAGGGGTGGGAGGCAGACAACTGGTCTTTCAAACCAACTTTTGGTATTGAACGCAACCAGCCTCGCCTTGAGGAGATTCAATACGTACGGAGACTCAATCTAGCCTTTCAAATTTGCTGCAGTATGTGGCAGCTATACCAATCAGGACAACTGCTGTTCGCAAGTCGTTGTTAGGAATACACCTTGGCACGCGCTCTCTAATCTAGCGGCGGATGTTACCAAAAGTGTGCCATGTATCTTCCTCATCGTGGCCCGTTGACATGACATAGAATTGGTACAGATCAATATCCGTGGCCTTGACTAGGTTTTGTTTCTAACTTTGACAAACAGGCAAATTGTACGTTTCCTAGTGCTAGTTCTAGTAACCACGATTAATAGATAGACTTCCTCTTCATCGCATTTTAGACATGTGCAGGAATAAATAGACGGGATTCGGCAGCATGAATGTGTTATACACCGATCAGCATGCTAGTGTAGCCAACAACGCGACTCACACTGGGGGCGTTGCTAGCGACCACGCAGCCACCCGTATAAGGTGAATTTCGCAGTCGTTACACTAAAAAGCAATCGAATTCCATATAGTGTAGTGGTTTAGCATACCAGATTTTCATCTACTGATAAATCTCTGGCGACCCGGGTTCGAACCCCGGTATGGAAGCAATTTTTTCGTTTTTTCTTTCTCAACAAAACGAAAGATGGTTTTTCGCTTGGAAGAAACTTCATCGCTAACTTTTTCGCCCCTTTTTCCATTGGCTCCCGGATCCCCGATAACATCCATCAGCACTAATAAATTCTAAGCGCATCATACAAATCTGCCGTTTGAGACTGCCCCAGGCCTTTGGCATGCTCCTCTGCCCTCCCAAGCGGGTTATCCCGGCGTTTGGGACGGAGCTTCAAGTCCGTGCCAACCAGCAGTCGGCGCAGTGAAAACCCAACACGGCATGTCTCGGCTAGATGCAGAGATGGAGTTGCTGCAACTTGGCACATCTCACATGTTGTCGAAAACAACATGAGCACACAGCCTGGAAGGCGCGAGTGAGCAAAAGCCCAATCAGATTCCGAACATGTTGAGCAACGTCGTACACAACAGCAGAAACCCTTGCTCGGTGCAGCTTCCGCGAGCCGGATATGTCACATGTTCGGGATTTGGGCAGCCTCGGAGCTCAATGGCGCCTTCCAGTTACTGGCTCGATCCCTCCGAAAGCCAGGCCAGCGCGGATCGAACTTGCTTCTTGTTGGGCATCGGGTACCAACCTACGTTACACAAGCAAAACGCACCTTCCACCCTTCTCCCAAACACCAAGATGATGTGGGGTAGGTCTTTCGACCGGGTTCCCTCGCGCTCTTTTACCGGACTCGGACCTCTGTTGTGGCTTGTCAGGCGTGATTACGACACTTTGACGATATCGGGGTGGAAAATCATTGTAGCAATCACGAAACTCTGCCTTCTCGAGCACCTGGTATCCGTGCACAGAGCAGCTTCTGGGCAGGAATATGGGACGACGAAAAATCAGTTGGTATCTTCCTACATGGAAGCTTGTGTGTCGTATTTAAAATGTCCCCCTCGCTTGAACAAACTCTCTGGGATCGACTGTCTCCTTTACCTCTTTAACCCTTCATTTGCACTTGAGTTTGACACCAGATATCCATGAAATCGCCGATCTACAAATAGAATGGGTGAGTAGATCATCTCACATAGCCAGCCCCCGTTGACCTGGCGTTTGTCAGAGCAACCTCATTTCCCATCTCCGCTAACGGCGGCGTCCTAAAGGCTCCCATCCGCACTGTTTTCCGCTCGTAGCCATGGCCACAAATGCCATCTGGCTACCAAGAATGCCGAGCAAGCCGTCGACCAACACCTCCCAGCGGTGGTGTCCCAATCGTCTTCCTCCCGGCCCTTGACCGCCTCGTCTCGATATCCTAGAGTCACCACAACCCATGGCCGTGGGGGGTGGTTCTCGGACCCAGACTCATTCACGCCAGCTGCAAGGATCAGGCGTGGAGAGGAGCCAAGAACAGGTAACCCTCGGCTGAGCTAACGCTCACTCACCCATCCCATTTGTCGGTGGCGTTGGCACAGCCCTTCTTGCCGTTCAAGTTGGACACAACTAGACACCACGAAGGGGGCTTTTGAGATTCTCCAATCCTCGCATGAGAGATTTTCTTACTCTTCATGCTAGCGCCCATGCCACTTCCCGTCTTTGATAGCAGGTATTGGGCTTCCCCTTGTTACACAACATCATCTTCATGCGGCCATGTCTCTTCGGCCACTTCAAGACGCTGTCACACTAGATGACACTCGCATACGCCTGCCCTCAAGTCATCTCCAGGCAAATACTCCCATTTTTAATTGGCTGTATCTATCAACCACTCAACCTTCCCCACACGAAGCTCCGGCAGGAGATGCCAGTCTTCATTCGCAAAGTTGACGCAGGATTCTAGACAACTTTCTGCGGAATAACAAGCTGACAGTCACACAGATCATGATTATTATTGGAGGCGTGCATCCTGTAGATTGTGTTTGGCAACTCCAATCATCTCGAGGGTGGGATGCTGTTCGTTCGATGAGCAGCGTTTTGGCGATCGGCGTTGGCAACGTCGGCCGCTCATGCCTCCCTGGCGTTGCCTGTTGTAGACTCGGTCAACCATGGCAAGAACGCCAGGCGGTCTGTCTGTGGCATGACTCCCTTTCTGTGCTAGATCATGAGACTTGTCAGGCTCCAGTTTCCGAGCTATACAAGCCCAACCACCACCGGCTCAACCGGTCCAACGGGAATCCTGTCTTTCAGACGATAACCACAAAGCCTGGTCGGCGATGGTGTGGACAGCCATGGAAGGGATATGATTCCTAAAATTCCCGGGGAGGTAGATCGGAAGTGGCCACATGGACAAGATATGAGAGTGTCCAGCGCTCTCTATGTCGGCAATGGGATTAAGAATTGGTGGATAGGTTAGGTAGCCGACGATCCAAAGTCTGGCGGTGGCGCATGTGTGTGTGGGGAACAGCCACTTAGGCCGGGTTCGACGTGTTCATCTCTCAAGGCTTCGCCGGACCTATTACGTCGAGGAGACTGGTATGCAACGACAATGCGGTTAGGCACCGGCAACAGACCATCCCCTCGGGTCCTTGGGGACTGGAAGGCAACAAGTTAAATCCTCACCATCATTCTGTCATTTTTGAGCGATCTGTCGAAATGCAGGAAAAGTGACAGATCTGTCTATCCACATGCCAGGAGAGACAATCCGACGACCAGCCAGACCACCACGCTCCTAAACACCAACCCACATTGAGTCTCACGCACATCACTCATCTTACACAAACCTAACCCGCTCTCCACACTGTAAGTTTGGAATCCGAATTCAAACCTCTGGGATATATCTGACTGTGTGACTGTAGATCATGGCGACTCATGGCAGGCCTGCTCATAACGGCAGACAGCATGGAGCTTCCAGCAAGGCAGCCAAGAGTAACAGTAACAGGGCCCCGACAGGCTCAAAGTCAATGACCAGCAACGTCAACTTCCTGTTTATCGTCAACGAATTCCAGGTTGACTTTGAACCAGCCGCGGGAGGTTTTCAGGTCGACCAGTGGCGCAACCCCATGCCGCCCATGGCTAGCGCGGCCTATCGTGGCGAGACAGTCGGAGCTGTATTCCGCTACCATAATGGAACTATATCCCGAGCCCCTGACTACTTGTGGTATCGACGTGAACCCACTCAGGGAGGCCATGGCGGAATTATGGGACGTGATCAGCAAGGAAACTACCAGTTCCTTGAAGTCTACAAGACTCAGAGTATCTTCGCCTGCTCAGCTCACCTTCCCATCATCGTCTCCAACTGCGATGCCTCAGTCGTCTCTGACCGAGATGTCACGCGTCGGACAAATTCATCTGCTTTCATGCAACGAGGCTGCGACTGTGACTCTGCCTACGATGGGTATTATCCGTGGAGTCTCCTAAACTTCAGTGCCTCTGCTGCAGCTCCGGGCGTCTCGTTCGCTCGGCTAGATGCTGAGGGTGTACCCTTCGTTGTGGGCAAGAATCCCTCCTGGATCCCCTCTCTCGTCCCTGGGGTTTTCCGAAACACCCGAAACGACCATGGAATCCCCAGGTCCCAGGGCCTATCTGGCGAACTACCAATCGTCATTGCCCTGATGGCCTTTCACAGCAGAGCCAACCGTGCCAGTGATGTCTTTGACCCAGCCGAGCGTCGCTGGCATCGAGGCGCCTGGGACGGACCAAACACTGCACCCGCTGGGTGTAAGTTCTCATTTCCATCATTCTTACACTAACCATTAGCTAAGTGTTGAACAATCAATGCGGCAAGATGAATGGAAATAAGATGAGGGAGAATGTCAAGACTCAAGGACAGCAGAGGCGGACAAGAGCAGCTGGAACAGCATTCTCGATATCACATTTCATTTTTCATTCCAAAAGACCTTTCGATACATCAATTCATTGCATGGGTCAAGCATGTCCATTATACTGATACATCGAGAAAACAACCAGATCCACTCTCAGAGAACAACCCCAGGGGCTTCCTCGTCCAAGTCTGCATCGATAGATTCGAGGACGGTTCCGCAGAGCCGATCGACCCGATCAACGACCCTGCCTACCAGGCCATCTACAACCTCGAGTGGTACGGCATTCTGGTCAGAGACGGACTGGCTTGAAGACCAGAAGTGAAAAAACAGTCAAAGCTCTCTGACTACAGTTGCTGCTATTTGATTTTTCTCTCTTCCATCCCCCTCCCCCTGTCACACTCTTGTCTCTTTCTCTCCTTCTTTCTTTCCTGTCTTTATTTTTCGTTTCACCTTTCCACTTCTACTTTCACTTTTCGCTTTTTGTTTTTCCCGCTCTCACATTTACTTCCTTTGGCTTTACCCCTGATAGTTAAAATTTCAGTTGCTCTTCTTTCTCTTTCTCTCTTAGCATTTTGACATGTCTATTGAAATTTCGTGTTCGTCTTACTCTACGACCCACGAGATGGAATCAGCACGAAACAGACTGAAACTTGGAAGCAGGGAAAACTGCTATTTCTTGCTCTTCGTTTCTTTTGATTTCTTTTTATCCTGTGGTTTTCCCACCACCCTCGAACTTCGAGCCTTTAGCCACTGCATGTTCTGAGAGCACATTGTGTCCATTTTCTTGATTCATTCTGTCCTGTGGGTTTCCCACCTTCAAACATTGAGCCTTCATTACTAAGTCTCTGCATCCATTTTCCTGAAGCACCACTTGTCAGGATATCCTCCTGTTTTGCTCATGGCTGTCTTATGTAACAATGAATGAAACCCTGCATTATTTGCGGGCATGACTCTCCATATCATTAGTACTTGTCGTATTTTCAAGCATTTCAAGCAGTGGTTAGGTTTCACAATAGCTAGCTTAGCATGCTACACACTGGCCTCCACATATACAATTCATGATAGAACCCGTATGAGATGGATGGTGCACGTGTTGTCTCAAACATCTTGCTTTTTTCCCAGTCGCTGCTCTATCCGTCTGCCCGTCTAAGTCAGATCGTGTCCGCCGCATCATGCACCTAACGCCACATCAGACTTTTGCCATGAACCTTGAGCGCCAAACTGACAGCCCATCCCTCCTACGCTTGTTGCATGAAGACTGAATAATTCTATAGAGGGGCCATGGTAGCCTCTGA